GCTGGGATAGGCTCCAGCCCCCCCGCGACCCTAATGAGGATTAAGCGGTGTATAGAAAATGGATGGATGGATAGTCCAGAGTATACTGATAATAACTACACGTATGTAGAGTCTGCAGCTGTCTGTGTGCATGTCCATGAAGGAGTTTAATCAAGTCTTAATATGGCAGCAACACAGTATATGTTTGATTGACAGCTGAGCTGAAAAGAGGGGACACAATGGGTCTCTTCTGTATTTTGATTCTCAGGGTGGAATTTGAAAGGAACTAATTTGTAGGATTTGTCAGAAGAGAACAGATTTAAAAGTGGTTCAAACATGGATAATCAGCAGCTTCAGAGGTCAATCCCTACAGATCTCCATATTTAAATGTCCAACTGTCCTCTCAGTGTCCTTGAGAGGCAGTTGGAAACTGTTGGATTCTACACTGCAATGGAAACATAAAGTCTGAGTGATCAGATTAGGGGGCTATTCATATAACTGTTGGTGCGACCACCAGCAAGTTCCTGCAGCAGAAAGAGGCCTATATGCAGTAGATTTATGCATCAGAATCAGAATACCTTTATCAATCCCTGCAGGGACATTACTCCATAACATGATGGAAGATATACATTTATACAACCTAAGGAGAAAGATAAATTATATAATTTGAATAGCCACAGGGATTAATGAAGGAGCTTTTCTGCAACCACAATACTATAGCTGGGTCCTAATCCAGGGGCTGCATGCTTCAAAAGTAGCATCCTGCAAATATAACGTCTTCAAAGGATGCAAATGTCAAACCAAGTGTTGTTAAATGAAAAAAAATGGCACAAGCAGAAACTTCTGAGACTGAAAATCATGTTTATTTGTTTGTTTTATGATTAATTAGAGGAAATTGATGTTTCAGCCCAGATTGGTGACGTATCTGAGGCCAAGAGTGATCCTGGACAGGTAAAGAAAGAGGAGTAAGCCAACTACTGGACCCACTGTGTTGGCTATTGTTAATTCCTCCTTGTCTACAGGTTGTATCCCTTCCTATTTTAAGCATGCTTCCATTCAACCTGTTTAAAAGAAACCTAACTGAGATCCTGCTCTGCTGAACAATTATAGGCCTATCTCTAAACTACCACAATTGTCAAAATTTTTAGAGAAGGTCGTGGCCTCCCAACTTTCTGCTGCATTGGAGAGGCATAATATTTTTGATAAATTCCAGTCAGGGTTCAGGAAACAGCACTCTACTGAGACTGCACTTGCTAGAGTTTCAAAAGATATTTTAATGTCTGAGTGACTGCTCTGTGTTTGTTCTTCTTGACCATAGTTCTGCGTTAGACACAGCGGACCATCACATCCTAATTAAGAGGTTACGTGATTGCATTGGCACATCAGGCATTGCATTAGACTGGTTTTCATCCTAACTGACTGACAGGAGTTTCTCCATCTCTGTTGGAGATTTCATGTCTGATTCCTCCCCTCTGTCATATGGTGTCCCAGGCTCAGTTCTGGGGCCTCTGTTATTCTCTTTATATTTTCTGCCCTTGGGAAAAATAATAATCAACATGGTGTTGCATATCATTGATATACTGGATGATATCCAGCTCCACTTTTCACTCAAACCAACTGAGCCTTTCAGGTTATCAAGGCTCCCTGACTGCTTTCATGTTATTAAGGTCTGGACGGCAGAAAACTCTCTGCAGGCTTATGCTGATAAGATGGAGGTTCTGGTTGTTGCTTCAGAAAAATTGCTGTGATCACGCAAAGTATTGGGCATCTTTCTACCACTGCCCACTCAAACCTGCATAATTTAGGGTAATGTTGCTAATTCCTTGTTATTTGACACCCATGTGACGCACCTGACCAAATCTTGTTTTTTACATTTGAGAAATATTAGTAAACTGAGAGCTGTAGTTTCAACTGTTGAGCAAGAGATGATTGCATGATACATGCCTTCATCTCCTCTCTCATAGACTGCTGTAAAGCACTTTTCTCCTCACTTAGTATTTTGACTCTTAATCATCTCCAACAAATCCAGAAAACTGCTCCAAGACTACTAAGTAGACCAACTAATGGCAATACTAAAATCCCTTCACTGGCTCTCTGTCACATATTGGATCCAGTTCAAAATTCTAGTTATTACTTACAGAGCGTTACACAGTCAGGCTCCTGCCTATGTAGCTGAGTTGCTTCATCCTTATCAGTCAGTTCACTCTCTCAGGTCAAATGTGTTAAATTTGTTGTCAATCCCTCGGACTCGCCTTAAGACATGAAGTGACCAAACTTTTGAGGCCATAGCACCTAAATTTTGGAATGCATTTGGGTAACTTGTATGCACTAGCTATTTGTATTTGCTTTATTTTTGTGTAATATTGTTCTGTACTGACTTTTCCACTAAGTATTGGGCAGTTTTTGCACATTTCACTTAGTGACTCAGGTAGTCATTTTATTTTCCTCTTCCTTTCTTAATGGGGTGAGGAAACTGTTCTTCCATCCATTATCTATACACCGCTTAATCCTCACGAGGGTCACGGGGGGGCTGGAGCCTATCCCAGCCGACTTAGGGCGAAGGCAGGGGACACCCTGGACAGGTCGCCAGTCTATCGCAGGGCCACACTTAGAGACAGACAACCAAGCACACTCACATTCACACCTATGGACAATTTAGAATCACCAATTAACCTCAACATGTTTTTGGACTGTGGGAGGAAGCCGGAGAACCCGGAGAGAACCCACGCTGCACGGGGAGAACATGCAAACTCCACGCAGAAAGATTCCAGTGCCCCCACCGGGACGCGAACCGATACAACTTTGACTTCTTGCAAAAAAAAACAACACGTTTTTGTGCTCCAAACTTCCTGTTAATTGCTCGGGAACGAGACACGAAAGCAACGCCATAGAGGTGAGTCTCATGGCATTGTTCGCTGCGAGGCAACAGTGCTACCAACTGTGCCACCCTGCAGCCCGAAACTGTTCTTTATCCAAGTAAATATTTTCACGCTGTCTTGGATTTGCTGAAAAATGTAACAGAGCACAAAACAGTCTGTTTTTGATGATTGTAGAATTAATATCCCTGTTAGAAACTGTGTGATAGGAGAGAAATGGAAAGAGATGAAGAAGGTGACCTCTGACAGTTGAATGTCCTCCTCCGCTGGTGTCATGATTGTCGTCAGCAGGACCATGAGCTTCTAGTTAAAGTATACCAACTGGTTTATATAAAGCTGCTTTTATCCTCTCAAACAGTCGTAATGAGGAAATACACAGAACCTTGTATGCGAAAGTGTGTTGTTGTGAAACTTTTACATTTCTTGTCACCAAATTATTGCCACAAAAGAAATGCAGTTTATTGTGTAATCAGGCCTGACATTAGGGATGCTTATACTTTTACTGATTTGTTCAGATGTTTAAACTGTGTGTTTAAAATATCTAGTAGCCTTGTTTATACCTTAATTAACATTTGTTGATGGGTTTATGTATAAAATTAAAAATTACATTTCAGTTATCATTTGGGTTTTAATGTATGAAATAGAACACTTCTGAATGAAATTTGGTCATATTTATGCATTAATATTATTTCAGCCACAGTGTAGAACCTGCAGTCACTTTTCGACAGGTTAAAAACTGCAATATATGAATTGAATGTGGCCTTTAAAGCTGTTTAAACAGGTTAAAACAGCTGGATTGGTTGTAATGTGGGACACAGTACAGGTGAAATAAATCACACACATGAGGGGACACATTACAGTGTGACACCGCCGGAAGTAAACAAAGAAAATCCTCCAGCAGCGTTAGTTTACTGATGTGTGGTCTGAGCTGGAGGACGGTTGTGTTGTCGTATCTCAAATATTTCATCAGTTGAAGTAACGATGAGTTCAGTTCAGAATCTGAGAGAGTTGATCAACGAGCGATTAACTGCTGCTGCTGAAGAAATATTCACAGAGTTTGAAAAAACCATCGTCCAGTACGAGGAAGAGATCGATCGTCAGCGCAGAATGCTGGATAACATCTGGAAACCACAGATACCGTTACACAGGACAGGTATGTAGAACTGTGATGGTCTGAATGAACTAATTGATTAATAAGACTGGTGTAGTCCGTGTGTTTGTGATGTTTGGATTCTCTGCTTCTCTGCTGTCAGCCTGCTAGCATGGCTGTTGTTAGCTTAGCTTAGCCGACTGGGCAGTTCAGAGGAAAGTTTAAAGGAAACTTAACTTTTAGTGCTAAGCTGATTCTGATTTCAGTGAAAGCCTTAACGCTTTCTGAAACACACTTTTAGGTTGAAAGCTTTGTTCTGTCTGTGGAAACTGATCAAAGATGAAAGTTTACTGCTTTTGTCACATCTAGATCACATTAGACTCACAGTTTCTAATTTGTAAAACCTCTATTCTATTTGTGAAAATGCAAAGCATGAAGGGACATCATTGCTGTTTTTCCATGTAAACCATGTTAAACCAGATCTTAAACCACTGTACTTAGACTGATCCAGTCTGGATTAAGGTATCCCACAGAGGTTAAATAGTTTCAAAATACAGTGTCTTTTGTGAAAATATAAAAGTAAATGTTTTAAATTTACTGTTTGCTTGTTTTTTCACATATGAACCATATTAGACTCGATTCAGACCTAAAGAAACTGTACTACAGTCTGGGGTGGATCCAGTCAGAGACTCTAAATAGTCTTTAATGCACAGTTTTTGGCTTTATTACAACTTTTATTCTATTTCTGAAAACTGAAAAAAAAAATTAAGTCCTGATCAAAAAGCCACTGGACTAAAACTGGTCTAATCTGGATTAGATTATCCCAGAAAAGGCATAGATAGATAGATAGATAGATAGATAGATAGATAGTCACAGTTTAGTTTGTTGATTCCAGCTGTTTTAGGAGTGTTATTAAAAAAAGGTGGCATCGGACAGCAGCTGGATCCATATGAGCATCTCGAAAGAGAGAAAGTTATGCGCATTTATGCATGGAGCACCAGAAGCAACTTCAATTATTTTTTAAAAATTATCACTCACATGGAGATTGGATGGATCTAATGAATAAAAATTGTGTGCATACAGTGGCTCTCTCTGGCACTTTGGGTTGGTGTGTCTGAATGAAGCTGTGAGGACTTTTGAGACCTGAACAGCAGTTATCAGGGCTTCTCAAACTTTGACTTTGTCACAGTTGCTTTCAAATGGAAACCTCCATCCATCCATTTTCTATACACCGCTTAATCCTCACTAGGGTCGCGGGGGGGCTGGAGCCTATCCCAGCTGCAGGGGCGGGGCTTCAAGGGGGGCTGGCGGGGCGGCACACCCACGGCCCGGGCCCCCTTAGGAAGTCAGCTTTAATGGAGGCGGGCCCATAACATGGCTCAGGGTAGCAGGAGTAAGCAGGCCCTCCCATGAGTTACACCTAGAGCAGTCCAGAGTATGGGCACAGTCTGCTTTATAACAAACGTGTTTATACAGGGGTTTTATTGGTTGCCCCAGTCAGGTCAGAGTCATGGTTGCTAAAAAATTTTGCAAGATCGACTGATTTTAGTGATTTAGCTCTCACATTAAACTTTATTATGCACAAATTTACAAGTTGATCGCCGATATTGTGTCCAAGTGTATTCTGGGTAAAACTCGTCACCAACCGTCCACCAACTCATCAACAGTCACTTGTCAACAGATTGCGAACTAGGTCGAGCATTTTTACGGACTAAGTTAACATGAGTGGCACTTCATATAAGCATAAAAGTGGAGCGGCAAAGCAAAAAGAAAGGGAACAGAGAGAGCAAGGAAAAGCCAAATTACAAAAACTGGACACATATTTTGTTCATCGTCCTGGACATGAACCAGACTTTTTTGTTGGCAGCGATTCAGGCCCGCCAAAACTGCCAGCACAGCGAGGGAGCCAGGTTAATTCCAGGTAGCAATTCTAACAATTACTATACACAATGTGTGAGTTAGTTGTAAACTGTTGGTGGTTGTAAATTGTAGGAGCCCAGCCACTTAGCTTATAGAATAACCGCTGTCCGTGGTGCTGAACTGCTTTGAATTTGTGTTGTTTTATTATCAGTGACCATGTAGCCTAATGTTTTTCTTGTTCTCTTCGTTATACTTCATGTCTGTTTGATGGACTTCAAAATGACACAGCTCTCCGTGGTGCCGAAGCTTGTAAGCGCTGGTGTCGCGGGCATGTGTATGTTGTAAAATGATGTTATCATGAGCTCTATTACTTGGGTTTAAAGGGCCCGGTCCTTTGCCCCGACCCCGGCCCAGCTCTGATTTGTTCCGCTAGTGCCCAGCTGACTTAAGGCGAAGGCATGGGACACTCTGGACAGGTCGCCAGTCACAGGGCTACACTTAGAGACAGACAACCAAGCACACTCACATTCACACCTACAGACAATTTAGAGTCACCAATTAACCTCATTGTGTTTTTGGACTGTGTGGGAGGAAGGGTTAGGTCCAGAGAACCCGAAGAGAAAACCCACGCTGCACGGGGCAAACTCCACACAGAAAAATCCCGGGTGTCCTCACCGGGACGTGAACCGGTGACCTTCTTGCTGCGAGGCAACAGTGCTAACCACCGATCCACCTTGCAGTAATGGACACCTGTATCTGTATATTTACAAAAAGCTTGTCAGTAGCATTATGTGTTTGTTTTCCATCTGATGCTGTGTTCAAACAAGACGCAAATTCAACGCGCGTTATACGCGTATTTGGATGCGTGTGTGCACTGAGTTTACTCGCTTCATTCACGCGTATAAATTGCGTCAATCGTGCATCAAGATTTGTGTTCACACAAGATGCGAGTAAAATCATTCGCGCGAATGATTTACATGTAAAGTCAATGTGAAGACGCGATTTGTGTCATTCGCGCGTCCCCCAGGAATTTCTGCCTGTTTCCTGCCATTTTCCAGTGAGGTATCATCAAACATGGCTGCGTTCAACAACATTGAGAGGATTGCTGCTTTGTATCTGCTGCGGAAGGCCCAAAAACGACGGCGATCCAGACGCCTGCCGTGTCTGGGTCCATGGGATCCTCCAGAGACTCACACAGCTCCGGGAATTCCACCACCTTCTCCAGGAGCTGTGCCTGGATGACGGCCGCTTCCAGCGCTATTTTCGGATGACCTGGACCCAGTTTGACTACCTGTTGGAGAGGATCGGAACCAGGATATCCCTCCAGGATACCAACTACAGGCGCTCTATCCCAGCTGCTGAGCGCCTGTCCATCTGTCTCTGGTGAGTAAATCAATCACTATTGAAGGTGTAGTTGCAAAAAATAAAAAATGAAAATCAATGAATCACATACACTGCATTTGCATGAACCTGCACTCGGGCCTCAATGCAGTGATTGAATTAGCAAAATCACGAACCAACTTTTCAGCAGCAAGCTGTTTTAATACACTTTTTAAATGTTTTTCTTTTCTTTATTTTTTTTTTGCAAGAAAACTGATTTTAAAAAATGGATATATCGGCTTGTCTTGTTCTACCTTTCAAAGAGGAAATTAAGTATTGTTTTACCCTCAACAGTAAACGAAACAGATGGGAAATCAGCACCACCCACATTCAGTCAAATTTAAAAGCGGCTGGCAGATGTTATTAAATACCAAAAGACACGAAGGTGCATTCATTAACACATTTAATATCATAAATAATAATTTATATAATTAGTATTTATGTATAAAGTATATATATAATACATTATTTTGTTATGTTTCAGGTTGACTACGATCTGCAGTATTGACATTACAACTCAGCTATATAAAATGTTTTCTTTGTTGTTGTTGTTGTAGGTATCTTGCCACTGGTGACTCCTTCAGGACCATTGCTGGCAGCTTCCGGGTTGGTGTCTCCACTGTCAGCAAAATCATCCCAGATGTGGTCACTACAATCTGGGACTGCCTGGTGGAGGAATTCATGGCTGTGCCCTCCACACAGGACTGGAGGTCCATTGCAGAGGGTTTTGAGGAGCAGTGGAATTTCCCTCTCTGCTGTGGAGCGCTGGATGGCAAGCACGTCGTTCTGAAGGCCCTCCCTAACTAACTCAGGATCCCAATTCTACAACTACAAGGGAACTTTTTCTTTAGTTCTCCTTGCAGTTGTAGATGCAAAGTATTGTTTCCGGGTGATTGATGTAGGGGGGTATGGAAGAACTGCGTGGAGTTTGCATGTTCTCCCTGTGCAGCGTGGGTTCTCTCTGGGTTCTCCGGCTTCCTCCCATACAGTTCAAAAAGCATGTTGAGGATGGTGTGATTCTGGCCAATTCAGTTTTTGGCCAGTCACTCCGAGCTGGCACCCTCCAACTGCCTGCTGACCGGCCACTACCAGGAGCTGACGCCCGAGGACTCCAGCCACACGTCTTTGTTGCTGATGAGGCCTTTCCCCTCCGAAGAAACCTCGTGAGGCCATTCCCTGGGCGTGTTTTACCAGAAGAGAGACAGTTCAACTACCTCCTGTCTCGAGCTCGGCTGGTGGTGGAGAATGCCTTCGGGATCCTCTCTTCCCAGTGGTGGATGTACAGGCGTGCCATCGCGGTACATCCTGATGTTGTGGAGAAGTGCATGAAGGCAACCTGTGTTCTCCACAACTTCATGCGGAAGTCAGCAGAAGTACCTGCAGTGAGGGGAAGCATGTCGGCTGGTGAGGTGGAGCCACTGCCAGGTGTAGGTCAGGTTGCAGCCAACAACTCTGCCAGAGAAGCCATCCAGGTGACGGAAGCCTTCATGGCATACTTCTCTGCAGAGGGAGCGGTCTCCTGGCATCCCACCATGTAGTGCACAAAGCAGCACACCACAACGGCTCTGTTAAGAGCCACCCACATGTTACTTTTGAGCAAAGGTCCTGCATTATTATATTT